ACCAATGATCGTATCTTACAATCTAATGAAATTAATATAATATACAGTCAGTCATTGATAGAACAACCAACTACAGTGCCGTCAACTTCCATAACCCTGAACAGCCTGGTGCGAAGAAAAAGGATGTAACAGCTTGAAGCCCTGAGCATGGATTGGAATAAGAAGTGTAAGACCGGAACTGTCGCACTGTGATACAGTGTAGTTTCCTACAAGAAAGCTTATTTGATACGACACACAGTATTATTAACTAGATACCGTTTCGATAAGAATTCATTGCTCGTAGTTACACCAAGGCACTAAAACGACTTCCTAAATCGCTTCACCTAGCCATTAGACTATCTGATTTTCTCCAGCACAGCACTATATATGTTCAGAATTAGTGCAGTGTTGGTTCTGTAACAAGTGTTGAGTGGTGCTTTGATGACCAGAGATTCTGCAGTTTGCCATTCCACACTCAACTCGTGACATAGTTTAGCCAGTCTGTTTGCTGGGTAAACTTCATCACTACATAGAGGAATTCTTGAGGTGACAACGTGACCACACTGAGTTCTACCATGCAATGACACAACGAGAACATTGAATTGTAGTAAACAAACAATGACTTTTATATGGATAATGCTATAACCTCCTGAGATTTTAAACACCTAGGCCTTCCGATGGCCGGGATAGACTTGTACAGATGATGTAATATTTACTTACTTCACAACAGAGTTGGGCAACTCTGGAGTCAGTAGCAAGATAAGGTAAGCGATTAAAGGTTAATTCATGATGGTAGACGGCAAATAAAGCCCTAGCAGTTCTCTAACAGTGAGATGTTACCATTTTTGAGACTACTAGCATTTACGGTTGACTTTCCATAAACGACAATGTAATATGTCAATAAATATCCCTATCGTGGATGTTACAATTTTCTTATGATAATTTGATGCCAAGTGTGACTACAAGATCATATTATTTAAAAAAATTTCTAATTTTTGATTATAGCTTGATTCCACACAGTATTTTGGTACAAGTATGGGATATTCAACATGTGATATCGGTAGCCCAAATTTAGCAAACCGATCACTGAAATCAAGTGTGTGTTAGCCGGGGATCAAACCCCGGACCATGTGAATGGTCGGCGAGCATCCTAACCACTGTTTCATCGACGGTGTAAATCAAACACAGGCAAACCTAAATTGAATTCAATAATAACACGTTCAGGAATCTAATTAGATGAAGAAATTTATCCCTTGTGGTGCTTATATTTAACCTGTATTGGAAGTGTTACATATTGACAGTGACGGGTCAGAATATGAAAAAGGACATGAGAAACAAGTTTCCTGACCAGAAGACTGCATCGGCTAAGATATACGATCCTCCTTTATGAATGCTGGGTTGAGGATATGACAGTTAAGTTAGACTGCATCCATGTATGAGCTCATGGAGGAGTGATGGCTGTTGCAGATTCGTAATATTACTGTTCTAACCTACTGCATCATAGATGAACACTGTGGGATGTGAAGCTGGTATACTTCGATGTCTACATCATCCAGATACAAACACGATAGTTTTTGATTACTCAGTGTATCTAGTAAGTGGAGGTGGTTCGAACTGATCCACGCGATCAATAGTCACTTATGCGATAAACTAACGAGTAACAAAGTACAGGTAAAAGACAACAATGGAAACTATGTCAAATAACTGAAATTCAGGCCGGGATGATCAACCTATCTGAACCCATTGTAGATAAAACCCTATTATCAGAGAAGGGAAACAAACTATTGCAAAATGGACCACCACCTGAAACTCGACAAGAAATATCACCAACAGACGCAGAAACTTTAGTGAACACCCACTCTCGACCAACACAAATCTTTAATGTCAATTCTACTGAAACGGGATTTCAGACGATAGAAATTTCCAGATATCTGGTGAGATAATAGGGTCCTCAACACACTACATTAACATTAGGGTTGCACACGATTTGACACCATACCAAGGACAATAAACCTCAGGAAAACTGAATGATGATAACCCCAATACAGCAAGTGTAGACCGTCTTTCATGCAGTACTACGTATAATGATATACCGGATGGCCACGTGCCACAGACATTTTCGCATTCACAAATGAATATTAGTTAAATATTATATAAGGAAACTGATGCAGACAATTAAATGGTAGAAACAGATGAATCAAGACGATGTAAAGATGAAATAAATGGTTTACACACCACCATAAATGTGAAAGGCCAGAAAATACAATAACACCCACCCACATTCCATAAGTCTTCGTAAAGGACAGATATTTCCCACCATGAAATCAGATTTCTAACGCAAACAATCGAAAGGAAAACTAAAACAACTAGAAAACATAGATACAGAGAAGTCGGTGTCAAGATATATGCCACCCAGAATAATGGATAAAAACCAAATTCTGAGCCTGGTGCCAGTCAGCTAGGTGCCTTTATGCGGTACGGACACTTGGAGCATAGGCCAGTGAGATTATTCCCAAGTGCCTCCCCTCAACAGCAGTGATCAGACTACCCGCCCCCGAAGGGATGGGTAACAAGAGACTATAGCATCACACAAGGCAAGAACATATAACCCTCTAAATATGCATAGAGGAACCAAATTTGAAAGACGCTAAGCAACACCACACACTAGGCTTCTAGAGGAATGTGAATAAGTAACGAATTGGACGTCTATGGGTGACACGGGGGAGGAAATGGAGAGGAGTCGTTGGTGCTGTTTTACTTGGGACAGAGAGGACGACCAGTTACATTGTTATATTGGGGAACCTGAGTCAGACCTCATCGCATGGTTATTCACATCCAATCATCTTTTGCATCCTGTAAACGTCGACTCATTCCATTGTAACTTTATCACATTTAATTGTTCTGATTAAGGGCTGAGACTTAACCTGACACTTCATCGTGAAAACTTCTATCTACAGATGTCACCAGTCCTACCGGTTAAGTAACAAATAGGAACCATATTCCAAGATGAACCCTCTAATGAGGAGTCCGTAGCAGTCACACACTGATGTCACTATATGCTAATGTATCACTTCATGGAACATACTGACATCCAAAACAGGGAAGCAGAATTAACAGGCTAAACATAAGACTTGACATTTAGAATTCATGATACGAATAAAAAAGACGTCACTTATGAAAGTGAAGACAGACGACGGTACAATGCCTTCAATACGCAAACATTTAGGATTCCAAAATTCAGTAACGGAAGTCCCATAGAAGCAAGGAAGAACGGTGAAGGGAAACCGACAAAATACAATGGCAAAACAGAGCACCTACCCTGTTAGGCGTATTGAACCTAAAATAGGACATGAAATCCCGAAATAACACAATCGCATTCGGCGAACGACAGAGTCACTTCTCTATTATTTCAAAGTCACTTACTTCCTACAGCTATCAACAAGTCATTCTGAATTTGTAAAAGCTGCACAACCCACGGCCGGGAATAGCCTCAATGCAACTGACATGAACACATACAAGCTTGAAGACATCTGAAGTCACGTTGTTATGAATAAAGCGAAAACAGAAACGGGGTAAGTACACAATCACTCCAGTCAGATAATCCGCCTAAATTAACCGACAATGTTCACCAACTGCTCCCCACTCTGATTTATGCTGACACAACATCCAGATTACAATAGATGTGAGCCTCAGAGCGGTTTAAGGAGAAGAACTGCCACTGAATTCATGTCTACCAGATGAAAAATTTCGAAATTGACTCTGCTGCACTGGAAAATATCAAATACGCACGTATCGCCATCAGCAGCCGGGTACTAAATTTATCAGACAAGCGTAGATGATCTAACGTGTGAATTCGACGATAGGCAAGAGGCTAAGCTATCCTAACTTTCAATATTCACCGAAATGAGCACCGAGCGATTCCCACCACGAACCTTTCTGTATCATCGGATCCGAACTAGTCAGAAGTGTACTCAGTACATGAACAATACAGGCTTTCAAGACTCACCTGTCTCCCGACCACCACGCATCCGTGTGACACGCTCTGACAAAATCTGCCCGCAACAAGCAGTGACAATCTTTCCTTTCGCATCTGTCTGCACTCAGGACGCCAGTCATCTCACGCACGCACAGTAGTTATCAAAAAGAAAGATATAAGTACACACGGAGTGAATCCGTCAATTTATTTCTGACCATTTTTCATAGCATGCAAAATGGTGACTCACAGTCATACAAGTGCAGGAGCTGCCAAATTCGTTGCGTTCCATGTCGCGGACGGGTTTAGAATCCTCCAGGGTGCACGGCGAGGAGATCTGCAAAACCACTCAAAAATTGTGAACAAGGTGAATTGTTACTCTGACCTTCAATCCTGCTATATGCTCCCTGGACCCAGTATACGCAACAATTACATCTAGCACTGGAGCAAGCTCCGGTGTTACCTTCTGACCCTTGTCCTTAGAATAGCCATGTGCAAAGACAGGCTCACTTAAACAGGGGGCTGGAAGACCTACCAAGTCAACCTTGTCTTCCGCCCAGTAATCATTTGCCTCCCTCACTGCTATCGATAAAACTCATAACTCAAAAGACTAACTGGCTTCAACACTTTTATTTCCTTCAATACTAGTGACAAAGCTTGGTTAAAAAATGATGCTGCATGGGCTTATGCATATATGATACGAAACTTTACACTTAAAGATAAAAGTCACTCTCAATTGGATGCTAACTCGCGATGGACATGACAGTTAAAAAGAACGCTCGATTGCACATGCAGTGAAAATTAACAGTTAACAGTAGATATATATACACGGTGAATAATGGGATCCCTGGCCTCTTCAGCTATAGACAGGCTGTCGACTTTCTGCTGGCTGACCTAGAACCTGAGGGCGCTAGGACAAGTCTGTCTCCTCTGCTAGTAGAACTGCCTAGACCAAACTGTTGAGGCCATACTAACCCTGCAACGGATACGAAGAAGTAATTAGGCGTTGAAAACATGCTCATACTAGAAAATCCTTACCTGTGTGAGACTAACGACGGCCATAGCCCCCTAGAAAAAGGACAGGTTAATTTTAGTGATACAAGTGCCTACCTCCGTAGGGAGCATTCCGTTGGTAGCCGCCACCCGGTGGACCGCCTCGCATCGGACCGCCGGCATAGTTCTGCTGGTTTCCGTAGTGACCAAATCCATCACCCATTCCTCCTTGACCCCAACCTGGGCCATCCCCATTCATGTGGTTGTGACCCCAGCCGCCTCCATAACCACCGCCACCGTAGCCACCACCACCTCCGCCATTCGCACCATATCCACCATAAGGACCACCTGAATACTAGGAACGCTAGATGTACAACTTACCTCCGTAAGATCCTCCATAGCCTCCTTCGTATCCGCCGTAGCCACCACCACCACCCATTGGGCCATAGCCACCGCCACCATAGTTGTTATTATAGTCATTCCTGGACTCCTGCTTCTTTTTCATTGTATTGATTTGCTCTTTACTGAGGGCTTTCTTGACATCTGCTCTGCTGGAGCCTATGTGATGGGGCTTGTACAAGATAGCCTTGTCAACAGGGTCGTAGTCATCGAACGTGACGAAACCAAAACCACGTGACTCGCCCGTTTCCTTCCAGGAAACCACTTCACACTCGGTGATATTGCCATACTTGCTGAAATATTCACGCAGTTCCTCTTGAGTTACATCCTTCTTCAATCCGCCAACGAAGAGTTTAGTCACCGTCATGTGAGACTCAGGACTGTTGGAATCTTCACGTGGCATCGCTCGTTTAGCCTCTACTGTCTTGCCATCAATCTCATGTGGCCTGTTAGCTTGGGCAGCATCCACCATCTCTGGTTCCTTGTATGTTATAAATCCAAAACCTCTAGAACGGTTTGTACGACTATCTTTCATCACCACTACGTCCACAATCTCTCCCCATTGTGAGTAAAAGTCCTTCAACTTGGCTTCTGTAGTGAGAGGAGTCAGACCTCCTATAAACAGTTTGCGGAATTGTTCAGTTCGACGGTCATTATTCTCAGAATTGCGTCTTCCCATCATCGAATTAATCACGGAAACCGAGAGGATCAACTAGCAGTATGGCCAACGGATATGACCTCACCACGAAGTGATTAAAACAAAATTCACAAGGTTCATTGTGTCAGTTTCATAGGAGCAACTTACTTTGCTCTATTTTACTCAAAATACTGAATCTAGTAGGATAGGTTTGGTCGTATTTTACAGGTTTTTGGTTTTATTTGACTTAGATAATTTTTCTTTCTTTCTGCTTTACTTGTGTCTTCCTTCCGAAAAAATTAGTCACCTTCGTGGTAAAATTAACGACCATTTGTTTTACTTGTGGACCAGCCCTCAGTAATCGTTTTGTTTTATGTCGGCTTGTCAATGATATGGATGGGATGTGTGTGATGTTGTTTACAGCTGACCTGGTATTAGTAAGAACTGGATAATGTCGCGAGATTTCGCCATGTCTTGAATTAGCTGATGATGAGATTCAACCGTATTGCTCTCAGACAATAACGCCATATCTGTGGCTGTAGAAGCGACAGGAAATCAAGAAGTGCACTGGGAGTTAGTATTATTTGCGTATTCTTGTAAATTGGGGTGCACGGATGACTGACTATCAGAAGAGGAGTTAGAGGGTTCTTGTTGAAGACAACTACCCGTGTCATGTAAGGTGACTTTTGGACGGTAGTTACGTATCGCTGTACCAGCTGGTCTATCTATGTCTGGAGTAAATACCTGTTGAGAGTGGTATGTTGGTGGTCATGTTGTGGACCTGAGTAAAGGGCGGTAATGTCTTTGCAGCAAAGCTGTTGGTCGCTGGATGGGCAGTCACGTTGGGTGGAGTCATGTAACTAGGTGTGGGCGGCCTACCAAGTAAGCTAAATTGGCTCGAATTGTTGAGACTAACGTCGCTACGCCTACACTCAAATCTCACAATCTTTTAACTTGTGATGGAGCAAGAGCCCACTTTTTTGCCAGATAGTTGTAAAATTCGGGTTTTTATACCTGTCGGTGTTGTGGGTATTTGTCTCTGTAGAGAGACATGAAGGCAAGCTTTGAACTCCTGAATTACTATGCATCACCATCCTCTTATTCTACTCCGGCTTTGCGGACGAATTGGCAGCCGTATTCTTAAAATTCATAAAGCCGGGACTACTTGGAACGATGAGCACAGGGTGTGATGCACTGCAGCGTGTCACCAAGTACAGGGATAGTTAGCAGAAGAGCCTAGGTCTACAGTCAATTTCTTTTTTAGCGTAGGACTATATGCTGAACTATTTTTAGACCTTACGCGTCTACGAAAATTCGTCTCCAGATATTATGTACTTTGTGTAAGCAGATCCAGACCCATGTGTTCTGTCTCAACGGAAGTATGGTTGTTTGGAGATGTTGTAGAGGAGTTGGTGATTACGCTCCTAAAGTCAGTCATAGAGGTCATTCTTCGGATCGGTGTTATATCACGAGCTAACCTAACCATATGGTGACGCGTATTTCTCAGTAGTGTTTGCTTACCGCAAAAGTGTCGGCATTAGAGGGTGAGCCAGATTTCAACACAAGTAAACAAGACTTGTTTTTCTGGAAATTTCTTGCTCGATGGCAACTGCACGAGACATTGTTCGTAGAGCATGCACTCAGAAGAGTGCTCTTGACCCTGTTGATCTGTGCATTACGCGGAATGTTATAAACAATCGTGTTCTCACGCTCTATACGTTGATTTATTTCAGTCACAATGTGCGGCAATGTCCAGGTCTAACTACACTTGGCTTAACGCCGTCCTTAGAAGATCTTCAGAAACAATGTGCAATAACCAATGCCAATAACCAGAACACAGGTTGGTGATTCGAGAATCCTTTTTTCTTCCACCAATATGGAACCAACAATAAGGTTATTATACACAAAGTCTAAGAATAAATGTCATAACAATCAATCACGATAATACTTCTGATAGTATTTCTCCGTATTCTAAAGAACAACGTACGATGGAACGATGACTGCAGTATCGGTGACTCCCGCCAAAATATGGAGTTGGCTTTCAGTAAACAACCATGAATTGATAGTTCATTCTTCAACTACATTCACAATGTAGTTTATTAGGTTTACGTTTTGTCGCGATGTTCTAGGGGAAATACTATTTTTACCAATGTTACCAGGCGATGTCAGTTTTGATAGCCTTTATCCTCACCCCAGCAGGAGACAAAACGAAGTTTAGGTTGGCGCTCAACCCTGACGGTGAGGTTAGCGAAGGGTCTACAATTTAACATCTATACGTACCTATTCTGATTCCATGTACAATAATCGAACAATTTAACCTTTTGAAAACGTGCTAATTTGCGATATTTCACCAATGTAATTTATGACAACTAATCTTGCCCGTAAAAATGACATGCATATCATGTAAACTTACCCGTTTATACGAAATATGAATTATAACTATTAAAATGCTAGCAGAAAAGCAAGTCTTACAGGATCAGTAAGCATGCAGGAAGGGGTAGCCATACATCCAGTGACGCACGCCTACATGTAGGTCTACTGCGGCAAAAGCATTAGGTCCGTTTATTATGCTCCCCTCGCCTTCTTGTGTTGTGAACAACGTCATGAATGGCATATATAGTGGCAATATATATATATAAATCCAGGCTTAGCAAATCCTCTACAACATCTCCAAACAACCATACTTCCGTTGAGACAGAACACATGGGTCTGGGTCTGCTTACACAAAGTACATAATATCTGGAGACGAATTTTCGTAGACGCGTAAGGTCTAAAAATAGTTCAGCATATAGTCCTACGCTAAAAAAGAAATTGACTGTAGACCTAGGCTCTTCTGCTAACTATCCCTGTACTTGGTGACACGCTGCAGTGCATCACACCCTGTGCTCATCGTTCCAAGTAGTCCCGGCTTTATGAATTTTAGGAATACGGCTGCCAATTCGTCCGCAAAGCCGGAGTAGAATAAGAGGATGGTGATGCATAGTAATTCAGGAGTTCAAAGCTTGCTTTCATGTCTCTCTACAGAGACAAATACCCACAACACCGACAGGTATAAAAACCCGAATTTTACAACTATCTGGCAAAAAAGTGGGCTCTTGCTCCATCACAAGTTAAAATATTGTGAGATTTGAGTGTAGGCGTAGCGACGTTAGTCTCAACAATTCGAGCCAATTTAGCTTACTTGGTAGGCCGCCCACACCTAGTTACATGACTCCACCCAACGTGACTGCCCATCCAGCGACCAACAGCTTTGCTGCGAAGACATTACCGCCCTTTACTCAGGTCCACAACATGACCACCAACATACCACTCTCAACAGGTATTTACTCCAGACATAGATAGACCAGCTGGTACAGCGATACGTAACTACCGTCCAAAAGTCACCTTACATGACACGGGTAGTTGTCTTCAACAAGAACCCTCCTACTTTACCAATGACTCCTTAGAGGAAGTCCTTAAAAACTGCTATGACAATATACAGTCGGTTAATGATGTCATAGCGCCTGTGAAACTGATTAAATTCAAAATTCCTCAAGGTAATTTTATTCCAATATCATTAAGAAGAAGTATGCGGAAGCATTCATTAAGTTACTACAGACATCACGACTTATCGTCGTTAATAGCTATCAAAACAATCCTCATTAGAATCCATGAGTTAAAAAATCTAAGTCTAAGAAATAAAGAGACGCGGGCAATTCAGTCGCCACATAACACTGGAGAAATAGCCAAACTCTTCAAAAGTAGGTTAACTAACTCCAAATCAACATATCCAAAAATAATACACCTAGGTGGCATTACTCACGAAAGTGATGAGGATATATGTGAGGTGTTCAGCACGCACTTTGCCAAATTGTACACTCTAGAAAACGACCAGGATATAGATTTCCCTCGTAAAACAGATAAGTGTTTAAGCGATGTAGTCTTTAACGCCCAAGAAATCGATAAAGCTACCACAACTCTTAAGCTTACTAATACTCCCGGCCCAGATGGAATGTCTTCTGTCCTCTTAAAAAAGGGTGGAAATGACATGAATCTACTTCTTCTCAAGATATTTTCAACTTCGATAAGGAGTGGAACATATCCAAATAGCTGGAAGAAATCTTACGTTGTACCCATTCACAAAACCGGGCCTATAGCGGACATAGATAATTATCGCCCCATCAACATTACTTCCGTAGTTTCACGTGTGATGGAAAAGATTATAAAGAAGCAAATTGTTCAGTTTTTGCTCTCGAATGACTTAATATCCGCCTTCCAATACGGTTTCCTAAATAGAAGATCGTGCATTACTTGCCAATTAGATTATTTCGACCACATTACTGAGTGTGTAGACAAAGGTCGTTCAGCAGCAACATTATTCCTAGACGTTAGGAAAGCTTTTGACAAGGTTCCACATAAGAGACTCATATTGAAACTCCTATCTTATGGAATAAGTGGAAGGCTACTTGAGTGGATAACTTCTTTTCTTACAGGAAGAGAACAGTTAGTTAAAGTCAACCATCACTTATCAACATCCAAACCGATAACCAGCGGCGTAATACAAGGTAGTGTTCTTGGCCCTACCCTATTCATTGCATTCATAAATGATATTGTTTCTATGATCAAGTATGGCAAGCCATACCTCTTTGCAGACGACCTCAAAGTTGTCTAAGATTTCGACTATAATGATATGAATATTGTTAGTAAAATCCAAGAAGACCTAAATAGTCTATGAAATTGGAGTGAAAAGTGGCAGTTAATGTTCAATCCAGCTAAATCTGGGATAACATACTTCGGACGTTGGAAACCTAGCATGTGTCTATACATGTACGGTGACCCTGTCTCAAACACGAACACAGTCACAGATCTCGGGGTAACATACTCAGATCTTACCTTTACTGAACATGCAAATAAGGTGGTATCTGATTGTAAACGTCTAACAGGCTTTGTGCTACGCAACTTTTACACCCCAGAAGCCAGATTAGCCATATATAAGATATGCATTCGCCCCAAACTTGAATACTGAGCCCACTTATACAGTAGCTTTAAATCAGCAGACAGAAAAAAAGTTGAAAGTGTCCAAAGATTCCTCACGAAACGCATATTAGGTTATGATCAGCAAATAGAATACCTTGACGGATGTATTCGACTGG